ATTCAGGTTGTAAATAAGAGCAGTCATTTTATATAACTCCCCAAGCAGTAGAAATCAAAGCACTTGCTCCATGCCCAGTGTTCTTGGTTCTAGAAGTAGGACTATTTATCTCTGTTTTTCAGGTAAGGAAACTCTTGAGAGAGTGATTTGTTCAGGTCTACACAGCAAGTCAGAGACAAAACCAGAAATAGAACTTAGTCTATTGGTTTGGGAGGTTGTGCTCTCTCCAGTTGGAGGAGCAATCTGTTACAGAAAAGCAGGTTTGTGACACACAAAATCCAGACCAGCTATAACACAGGAATCCTTCTAGTCTTTTCACTTTGACATCTTAGCATATTTAATTTTTAAAATCTTCCTTCTCTGTGATAACTTTCTGATTTCTTTACTTGATTTCTTAATCTTGCCTCTCTTGGATTATCTATTTCTGTCTAGAAATGGTTCGAGTATCATGTCTTGAAACCTTCCTTAATTTCTTCAGTGTAACACATTATCACTGTACATTTCTGCATATTCATGCTAAATGAGAATGTCTTTATTTCTAAAAAGTCCCAGACCTCTTTTGTCTATTGAATGGTATGCTGGTCCCATGGGTCTTTGTGGCCTTTTTCTGGATTTGCTGCCATACTATCCAGGTGAATTTCAGAGCATTGAAAGCAAATGCTCTTCCTGGAGAAAGAGTCTGGGAATAGGACTGTGCTGCTTATTCTGCCCTGAAAACATGAAGCCCAGGGGAAGTCATCTGTCTGTCTGGCTTTGACTACATTTCTGTAATTAATCCCTACTTACCTTTGTTTTTGAGGAACAAAGAAACTGATTTCAGTGATCACCCTTTTGAGCTTTTCCACCATGGAGGTGCTAATAGCCCTTTCTTGGTTTTGCCTCCTTTAGGGGAATGTGACCCTGAAGGAGCTGAACGCCCGCCCAATGGAAGTGTTCATGTGCAGTGTGCTCAAGAGGCAAGGCTATGGCGAAGGTTTCCGCTGGCTCTCCCAGTATATTGACTGATGTTTGTGGACAGTGAAAATAAACACGTTTTACTTCTCTGGACTGATCCTATTCACAGCTTCCTCATGAACTTTTCTAATAGAACAAGGAAAGCTCTCCAACCGTGTCTGGCGTTGAGAAGCCACAAGTCTCTGTCAGCTCTCTCATCGCCCAGTGGTGACATGTGCTCTTCTCCACACTGTTGGAAGGTAATGCTGCCCCATGTGCCGGTGCAGGTCAGCATCCTTGGACTTGGAAGCTGGCAGGATATGCTGGGTAAAGCTGTGTGCCATCACAGGGCACCTGAAAAGAAAAACACGTCTCACCACTGTGGTTGATTTAAAAAGAAAGTGATTCTATTTTTTAAAGAAAGTGTTGTTAATGTAATTGGTGTCCCTCCTAACTTTTGAGTTCACGATTTACTTGGTCCAGAGTTTTCTATTCTTTTTTTTTTTTTTTAAATCTAGTGAATGGCATTTAGATATTCATAAAATTATGAACACATTGGTGGCCCGAGCTCTGTCAGGTGAACCTAACTCCTGTTGGATTAGCAGATCGGTGAGAGAAGTGCCCCTTGAGCTCACCTGTCTCTATTACTGCCTTTTGGTAGGTGGCATCACTTTGTGCACAGATAACTAGAAAAGTGGCAGCACCCTGGCCTTGCAGTTGCAGTAGACTTCCACTGTGGTGAGCTGGGGTGTCTACATCACATCACAGAATGTATAGCTGATTGTTTGCTGAGGAAGAGTTAATTATAGAGTGGGTTATCATTATTATTTTTACTTGTAAAGTTACAAATTTCAGCCAGTGTTTGCTTTTATACTGTTGTGAAATTCCATTCATGCCTCTAGCACCTTCCTTTTTCATTTTCAGTTATAAAAAGTGACTTTTGCCTCATAAAAGAGATTAATTCCATCTTTCCCACATTGCATATTGCAGATGTATCTGTTACTTTTGCAGTTTCTGGGAGGGAAATTAACAGCTTGAGGGCTCTTAATTCAGTAAGTTGAGGACTTGAAATGGGGTACTGTAACACATCTCAATCTAGGAAAGATTTACTCAGTTGGGCTTTAAAACTTCCATATCCAGAATTTGGTCTCTTTATTGCACTGTTTGTGAATACGGTTGGGAGCTGCTCTGGTGGTGTAGTGCCTAAGGCATCTTACTGCTAATTAGCCACTCCTCGGAAGGAAGGTTGGGCGATCTACTTCCATAGTGATACCACCTCAGAAACCCAAGGAGGGGTTGCTATGAGTTGGATCTGACCCCACGGCAGTGAGTTTGGTTTTTTGGAATGCATCTTTTTCTTACATTTTTTCTCTTTATCAGTTATCTGTGTGTGTGCACACGTGTGCTTAAAGGTTAACATCTGTAGCTTTTCATTTTTTTAATTTGATGTGAAATTGCCTTTTCTCCAATCCAGAAATAAACTGGGGAAAACACTAATCCAAGAACTTTCCGTATGGCTGTTCCGTTTGAGCCAGCATCACTTACTGTCAGATAGTAAACACCCTTGTGAGAGCGCCAGCATCCCCAGTGGTGGGCAGGAGGACTGTTTTGGTAGCATTCCATTTCTCTCAATGCCATGTGTGATTTTCATCATCTTAATCTATAGACTACCTTTGGAGTAAACGATTAAGGGGTAAGAGATGGTCTTAAGATGGGAGGGTATCTTTATTCATTTTTCCCTTAATGAAAGGTTAGAAGTAATTTCTACAAAATTGAAAATTGTGGTGATGATGCTTATTTTTGGAGGACTGAACAGTGGATTCCTGCTTCTGATGTGATGGTAGGCCAAGCATGGATGATAGACTCTTGCAGATGAGAATCATTCTTTAATTGGATTTCTCATTCTTAGTCTTCAGTTTGACGTATTGGGAAAGTGTAGTTTTTCACTGCCAGGTACCAAATGCAGAATTGATAAAGTCCGAGAAGATCATGCATTTCATTTATTAGCAAGGCATAGCTGGATTAAGTTTAAATTGTTGGTTTGGAAAGGGATGAAAGCCTTACATGAACAAATCTAGTTAATGGTGAATGAACTAGGTAGTTGACTTACATCCTTTATATTTCTTTTGGCTAAAGGTTACTGGTACTTCTCTATCCAGAGACATGAAAAGTATGGTTGCTTCAGTGTTAGTATTCTTGTTTGTTTTTCCCCATATCTGTCCCTAATCACCATGGATTCTAGTAGGGCAGCTCTTTGTGAAAGTGGTTATTTTGGCCACTGGAGAAAGAGAGATTGAAAAATCAAGTACCACCAGTCTATTTCTTGCCCTACTGAACCCCATTCCTACAATAAGATAGCGGAAAGACAGCTGTGAGGAACTCTGCTCCCCACAGTAAGGATCAGAGCTTTGTACAGGAACTCCTGTGAAATGAGACTTTTCATTCTGTTTTATCAGAGTGCATATACATCCTATTTCAGGAAAAGTCAAATAAATCATTTACAAAAGAAAGTCAGTCTGTATCCTAAGCATTTTAATAAAATGTTAAAACAAACTTGATGTCTGAGTCCTGAGTTTGAACACATGATACTTCGGGAAAACAAAAAGTTCTTCCCTGCTTTTAGGAAAAAACATTTAGGATAGATGAGACTTAAATTCTGCTGCTGGGAGAGGAGAGGGTGTCTGGGCCTGTTCCTGCGTTCCATTTTAGTACCATTTGAGAGCCTTGGAACATGCTGTGGCCCTAGAGTTGGTGGTCATTTCTGCAACAGATGATCATAGCTGAGATGAAATCTCTTCATGTGTCAGCAAGGACTGGGCCCTATATATCCATGTTTCACTCCATTTTTTACACAAAATTTGAGTGCTTCAGTCAAATGCTAGCTACATTTTGCAAACGGGCCAGGAATGAAATCTCTGTGCATTTACTAGACTTGTAAGAAGTTGTGCTTGTAGAAAATCCCAAATAAGAGTCCAAAACCAAAGTACTGGGACAAATAGAATGAGAAAGTGCAATAGGTTCTATTAAATTAGAAGGAGTTCTGGTGGCTTAGTGGTTAAAGCACTTGGCTCCCAACCGAAAGTTGGCGGTTCAAACTCATCAGCCGCTTGAGGGGCGGGGGTGATGGAGTGGTGGAGATGAGACAGCTTCAAGATTTACAGCCTTGGACAGCCTGTGGGCCAGTCTCTGTCCTGTCAGGTCTCTGAGTCGGAGTCAACTCTATGGCTATGGGTGGGGTGGAAGGAGAAAGCGTTGCGAGCTCCATGCCCACTCACTAGTGGATTGCTGTAGGTTTACTTTTAAAATTTCTAAACACTGAATCAGCTAAGGGTTTCTTTGGCCCATATTATTCCAGGGCAGGGGTAAGAGGGTAGATGTCACCTCCACCTGGCCAATTCTGACAGATACTGTCATGGCCTGGACCGGTCCAGGCACATCAGCTCACTTCTAGTCCTTTTTCTGCAGCCCTACGAACTCTGAGGAGCTCTGGTAGCATAGTGCCTAAGGCACTTGCTCACCAGAAGGCTGGCGGTTCAAACCCACCAGCCACTCCTCGGAAGGAAGGTTGGGCAATCCTACTTCCGTAGTGATACTGCCTCGGAAACCCAAGGAGGGGTCGCTATGAGTCGGGGCCGACTCCAAGGCAAACAACAACAACAACGAACTCAGATTAGGCTCCGAGGGATCCGCCCCCCACCCTCCCGCCCTCAATCTCTAGGAAAAGCCACACGCCTATCACACTCTATGGGCACCTCCCCCAGGGGACAGCTGCGTCCTCTACGTCCCATAGGTTGGGTGCACCAACGAGGACTGGGAAAGGAGGGAGTAGGCATCAGTAGCCAATCAGAGCTTGATCCTAACCCCAGCCAATCCGGACAGGCCAGTTGGGGTTTAGCCAATCCCCCTTGAAGAGGAAGACATGAATAAGTATTTGCTCCTCTGCTTTCAGCTCTGTACCCTTCCGTGGGTTCAGCCCGTACATGCGGTTCAGCCCGTACATGCCCGGGTCCTTACCCACTCTTAACTCCGGTTCTTTGTGAAGCCACAGGTGCACCAGCGCGGAGGCCATGGGGCGGCACTGGGGGTCCGCCATGAAGGCGGCCGAGCAGGCAGGCTGCGTGGTGAGCGCCTCTCGGGCCGGCCAGCCGGAGGAGGGGTCGTGGAGCTGCAGCGGGGTGATCCTGAGCCGCAACCCAGGCCTGGTTCTGTGCCACGGGGGCATCTTCACCCCCTTCCTGAGGGCGGGTAGCGGGGCCCTGACCGCGGCCGGAGCCACCTTCCTTCCCGGCGACAGTTGCGGCGACGACCTGTGCTTGCAAGTGCAGTGGAGCCCAACGGCCGCGATTCCAACAGGCCGCGCGGAGCGGGGCCGACCGGGCTTGTGCACGCCCCAGTGCGCGGGCCCCGAGCCCGGCCTGCCAGCCCGGCCTCGCGGGCGGCCCCTGCAGTTCCCGCGAGCCGCTGAGTTGCTGCTGCTGCTGAGCTGTCCAACCTTCCGGGCCCACTTCGCGCGCCTCTTCGGAGGCGAGGCAGCCGAGCAGTGGCGCTTTGCAAGCGGGGCGCCGGACGACGAGGTGTCGGAAGACGGAGAGGAGGATCAGCTGAGAGCGCTGGGCTGGTTCGCGCTACTGCGCTTGCGTCCTGGCGAGGCAGCGGCAGAGACGGACGAAGAGGAACGCGGGGCGGCGGTGGTCGTAGCGCCTCTGGGGGCCGTGCCCAAGGGCGCGCCGCTGCTGGCCTGCGGCTCCCCGTTCGGCGCCTTCTGTCCGGACATCTTCCTCAACACGCTAAGTCGCGGCGTTCTCAGCAACTCTACGGGTCCGTTGTTGCTCACTGACGCGCGCTGCCTGCCGGGCACGGAGGGCGGCGGCGTGTTCGCGGCGCGGCCTGCGGGCGCGCTCGTGGCGCTCGTGGCGGCGCCACTTTGTTGGAAAGCACGCGAGTGGGTGGGCCTCACTCTGCTTTGCGCTGCCGCCCCACTTCTCCGTGCAGCCCGCGTCGCGCTTGCCCACCTGCGCCCGGGTTCCGCGGTCCTAGCCTCTCAGTTGCCTCCTGAGTTGGGCGCCCCGCGGGGCCTGGCCCTCCAAGACCCCGAGCCCCCTTGGGTAGCTACGGCCGTGCTGGTGGAGTGCGGCACAGTATGGGGCTCTGGAGTGGCCGTGACACCCCGCCTCGTGGTGACCTGCCGGCATGTGGCCCCTCGGGAGGCGACCAGGGTCCTGGTGCGCTCCGCCATCCCCAAGTAAGGCCCCAGAGCTGCTTCCACCCTACCTCTAAGACACCAGGCCTTGCTACTGGTATCACACTGATGCTTTAAGATGTGGTATGGGTAGGGACCTGGGATTCTCCCTTCATCCTTGACAGCCAGAACCCCATTATAGGGGGATCTGGGTCTCCTGATAGGGGGAGAGTGAATGGGCCTGGGGCAAGATGCCAAGCTTTAGGCAACTCTGTATTTGGGAACTGTGGGGCCTTCCTGCATCCTGCTCTGGGCATCTTTGAGTTCTAAATTTCTTGGGGCAACTTCTCTGCCTCATAGCCCTGCACTTCATATCCTTGAACGGAGACTTCCTAATCCTGCCCTCTTGCCACAAAGTCCTGGTGAAGCCCCAGGGGCCCAGGATGCTGCCTCCTAAGGTAAAGAGATGGGGCTGTTTATTTTACTTGAGGAATCTCTTAGATCTTAATCAGAGCTTCCCTTGATCAAAATTACAGATGTAGGGCAGGGCCTACGCAGGTAGACACAATTTGAACAATCTGAGTAATTCTGGTGGACAGTTTGGACTTTAGACTTTAGACAGTCATTTGTTCCCTCTGCAGGGAAAAGCATGCTTGCTCTCCTTCACTTCTACCTGCTTTGTCCCAGTGAACAGCTAGCTGCCTTGCCTTCTTGCCTTGGTTTTTTAGAATACATTCTATTTCCTCTGTAGCCTCAAGTGCTTACTTTAGGCCAACACAAAGCAAAACTGAGGCTGAGTGTTAAAGCCTGATGGCTCAATCCAACCTCCCAGTCCAGCTCTTCCCAAATCTCTCTTCCTAAACCCAAAGGTTAACCCAGTGTGGTTAACCCAGCCTGGCTTTGCCATAGCCATTATTTTACAGGGAATACCTGAGGTGTGGCCCTCAGATTCCTTATCCCCTACTCCAGTATACACTCTGCTCCTAATCAAACTGCCAGGGCTACCGGATGCTACCTGTGCAGAGAGCATGTATAGTAAGAATCCCCTGTGTAACCTTGGGCTTTAAGCTTTCTCTTCATGAGTTAACATGTAAACTCTTGGAACAGAGCCTGGCTGTAGAAGTGCTAACATTTATGTAAATAGGGATCCAAACCAAACTAAAAAAACTCACTGCCATTGAGTGGATTCCAACTTACAGCAATCCCCATTAAGGCTATAAATCTATAGAAAGACTGCTTCATCTCTCTTCTAGAGTAGCTGTGTGTTTGAACTGCTGACCTTTTGGTTAGCAGCCAAATGCCTTAACCACTGCATCAGAGATCCAGAGGTGGAAAATTATACCTGTTTCACCAAATGACATGATTGTTGAGAGTATCAATATAGGCAGTGAAGAAAAATGTTTAGAATGTTTGCCCTGGATCCTACCACTTACTCTGTGATCTCTGGGCCTCAGTTGCACAGTGGAGATAACAACAGTGCCTAATTCAAAGGACTAAATGAAATAATGTCCTTAAAGAGTTAACACTTAGCCTGTGAAGTGCTAAGTATGAGTATCAGTTGCTGTCAAGGTGATTCCAACTCGGGTGACCCCCTATATGTCAGAATAGAACTGTGCTCTATAGGGTTTTCAATGACTGATTTTTTTGGAAGTGGAGTGTCAGGCCTTTCTTCTGAGGCACCTCTGGGTAGATTTGAACTTCTAGCCTTTCGGTTAGCAGCTGAGCATATTACCCAGTTGCACCACCCAGAACTCAGACCAAGGGCTAGTTGATCATTATTATGGTGATGGTTAGCAAGCTTAAATGGTCATGCTTACAGTTTATAAAGCATGTTTGGAAATACCACATTGGTTAGATGACTTACCACAGTTGCCTGGCTGGTTGGTCTCAGGGCTAAAACCCAGTTATTTTGACTCCAAGTCCATGACTTTTTTTTTTTTTTTTATTATTTGCGTGAAAGGTTACAGAGCAAATTCATTTTCCATACAGCAGTTCATACACATTTTGTTTCATGACGTTGACTGCAATTCCCCACAATATAACAGCTCTCTTACTACATCCTGCCTGTAGTTACTTCTTTCCTGTGTCCTTCTTTCCTGTGTATTCCTGCCCCCTGAGCTGTCTCCCTGTAAAAATACTGCCCTTCTGTTCTCTCATAACTGATCATTCTAAGGAGTGTATCTATCTGATGTAAACATTCACCTATGTGCCTGTTTGTTGTTTGGCTGGAAGCCATGGGAGTGAGTTCAGTTCTGGATCTGAAGGATAACTAGGGGCCATAGTTTCGGGGGTCTCACCAGGCTCTATCAGATTAGTAAACCTGGTCTTTTTTATGATTTTGAGTTTTGTTCCACATTGTTCTCCCACTCTGTCCAGGATCTCTTGGACTGATCCCTTTCCGAGTGGTTGACAGTGGTAGCCAGATACCATCTGGTTCTTCTGGTCTTATGGTTATATAGGTTCAGGTTCACATGGTCTGCTAGTCCCTTGGACTAATTGTTTCCATGTGTATTTGGTTTTTTCCATTCTTCTTTGCTCTGGACAGGAAAGACCCATTGTTGCATCTAGATGGCCGCCTGCAAGTTTTCAAGACCCCAGTTGCTACTCACCAAAATAGGATGTAGAACAATATTTTTGCATAGTATGTTATGCCAATTGAGCTTGATGTTCCCTGCAACCATGGCCCCGAGCCCACAGGTCCAACAATTCACTCCATCAGGGTGGTTGACTGTGGCTAAGAAGTTATTATGACTTTGCCTACTGTTAGTCCTAGTTATGTGGACATTCTTAACAGCATAACACGTATGTAGAAATATCTGCCAACCTTATAAATATAGTCGTGGGTATATTCCCTTTTGCTTAGACATACCTGATCATTCACCTTGTCTACCCATCCATTTATACCTATAGATTTAATGTTTGTTATCACTGATAATGCAGTATTGCATATGTAAAAGTGTTTATCTTTGTTGTCTGTACCTTTTGTATACCTCTCTGTGTCTTCTTTTT